CCCACTGGGCCGAGCGGCCGGCGGCACCCGCTCCGTCCGCTGGCAGAGCCTGGGGCACCGGCCGGCCCTTCAGCGCCCGGGCTTGGCTGGCAGGCTCCCCGGACATGTTGCGGGCTCCCGGCTGGCGGCGTGCGGCGGTCGCGTCGGGGAGACAGCAGACATAATAATCACAAAAGGCGAGCCGAGGCGCGGGGAGGTGGGGGAGTGCACGGCTCAGAGGGGGGAAGCGGGACGTCTCCGCCCCATGCCGCTCCCCTCCAACCCCGCGACCTTCTTGCACAAAGAACGAACTGCAACAACAAAAAACAAAACCCGAATTGCAGAAAAATAAAAGGAGAAGAAAAGACGCGGATTCTCAACACCTCGTCCCCGCGCTCGGCAACCTGCAGCATCCAGGGCTGGGGGGCTCTGCTGACATCACTGCCATTCCCGCTTCCTCATGCAGCTGACTGGGACTGGTGGTGGGGAAGGGGGGGGATATTCATGAAAGCAGCTGATCCGATTGGGTTGCCATAGGAGCCACCGCTGCCAATGGGCTCTGCCTACCTGAGCTGGCACCCCCCCCACCCCGGCTTCTTAAAAGGGCAACGCGCCCAGCCGGGAAGGTGTGCGCAAAAAAAGAAAAGAAAAAAAAAGGAGCGTGCTTTTTTTGGGGGGGCGAGGCCACATAAAATTGCACGCTGGAAATTGCACGGTTTAAAAAATAATAATAAATGCATTGCAGAGCTCTCCTCATGACCTCCAGGATTCCCGATTCAGTCCCGGGTTTCTCGCACTGAATTGCATTTAAATCCCAGGCGCTTTGCACGCCCCTAGACCGAGCACGAACTCCAGGATTTTGCATCGTCGTCGTCCCCACACCCCGGAAACGGCCGGGTCGGGGCCCGTCTTTCTTTCTTTTTTTCTTTTCTAAAAATGCACCGCAGCTGTGCCCTCTGGCTCTCGCGCTTGTCCCCCTCGGGCTTCTTGCGTTGAATTGCGTTCGAATCCCGGACTCTTTGCGCGCCCCTAGACTGAGCACGAACTCAGCAAGCCGAGATGTTGCATCGTCTTCTCCCCCCCCCCCTTCCGGGGGGAAAAGCGGAGAAGGGGCTAAATGCACCCCCCCCCAAATAAAAAACACTCTGACTCTTGGAAATCTTGACGGGGCTACCGAAGGACGGCGCAACCAGCCACGACTGCTGCAACAAAGGTGCCTTGAGTCTTGCAGACTCAAAGCGTAGACGTATAGCGCGCAGGCAAGTTGGACGAATACGGCTTTAAATCAGCCTTCTCTCCTGAGTTCTTCAGAAAGCCGGTAGGCTCGCATTTAAAGCTGCCAATCACACACACACATTCCCGGGTCAAAAAACGGGCAACTGGAACTCCCTTTCAGTTTTCCACACGTGCAGACTGGAAGGCTGAAAAGCGCTTTAAGTGGCTCTTGTGCCTATCCAGGAGGGGCTGTAACTTTACTTCATTTTTTTCATTTAGATACTGCTGTCCTCCCCAAGGCAGCTTCTATAATTCTTCCGGCCTCCATTTATTCCTCACCTGGGTAGGTTTGTCTGTGACTGGCCCATGGTCACCCAGCAAGCTTCCATGGCATGAGTGAGGATTCGAACCTGGGTCTCCCAGATACTCGTCCATTCACCGCTGCCACCCTACTGGCTCTCTCTCCACAGAGTTGCATGCTCCACTCAAACACTCATTTCTTGCCCTATATATTTTGTTTCTAATAGGCTTTTAAAATTTTTGCAGTGTGACAACTTCCATTCAAAGAATCATTCTTCTGTTGTTGTTGTTTTTAAAAAGATCATTGGCACCTAGTTACCCCCCTCCCCCCAAAAAAAGTTTTATTGCTCCATGCTTATAACCTATTTGATCCAGGCAGCTTGTGCCAGTCAAGACTCCCATCTCACAGAGTGGATTTCTCAAGATCACTAGTTCCAAAAGGAGAGGAGGTGTTCACTAGAAGCGGACCAAAGCTTCTGAAACTTTGGAAAACCTGTAAAAAAGGCATCAAGGTTGTAATCTGGGGGAGGGACTGTTCTCTGCTGCCAGGCAGCCACAGTTCAACAAGGGTTAGTAAAACCACCCACAAAATTTCTGTGGTGCCAAAAGTGTGTTTCACAAATCACTGGGCCCAGGGCTATTTTTTGGGCAGGAACGCACAGGAACGGAGTTCCGGCTGGCTCCCAAGTTGGCCACGCCCAGCAGGAACTCATTAGCATAATAGGCCACACCCAACAGCAGAAACTCATTAGGATTGGCTACATTAGGGGTGTGTGGCCTAACATGCAAAGGAGTTCCTGCTACCAAAAAAGCCCTGGGTTTTGACCACAAACAAGGTCAACAGAATAAGAAGCAAAAGGTGGGCGTGGCTGGATTACCACACTTCTGGTAACATGGGTGTGTGGCCTAATATGCTAATGAGCTGTGCTGTCAGGGCTGTGGCCTAATATGCTAATGAGTTTCTGCTGTTGGGTGTGGCCTGTTATGCTAATGAGTTCCTGCTAGGCTTTTTCTACAAAAAGAGCCCTGACTGGGCCAGTTTTAAGATATCTATCATTACTGATCGCTTGGATTCCCAGCTACAGGTTGAGAAATAACTGGAGATTTGGGAGATGGCCTGAGGAGGGTGTAAGGTTGCCAGGTCTGGGTTGGAAAATACCTGGAGACTTTGGGGGTCGATCCAGAAGAGGGTGGGGCTTGGGGAGGGGAGGGGCCTCAGCATGGTACAATGCCATAGAGTCCACCCTTCAAAGCAGCCATTTTCTCCAGAGGAACTGATCTCTGTCAGCTGGAGATCAGTTGTAAAAGCGGGGGATCCCCAGGCCCCCCCTGGAGGCTGGCAACCTTAGGAGGGTAGGGTTTGGGGAGGGGAGGGATTTCAATGGGGTATAATGCCATAGAGTCTGCCTTCCAAAGTGGCCATTTCCTCTAGGTGAAACTCTCTGTGGTCTGGAGACCAGTTGTAATTCCAGGAGGTCTCCAGCCACCAACTGGAGGTTGGCAACCCTATAAGATCACTAATAGTGTTTGGGGTATTTGTGGGGTTTTCTCCTACCCCAGTCTTGACCGGGATGAATGTCAGGATCCACAGCAAAACAACGAAGTACACGCCTCCAAGAAGGTTTTACTTTTATTGAAAAACTATAGACGCAGTAACATGAACACTGTTAAATGGCGGGCGATCTATGCGCATAATAGGTTATAGGGCATTCGTATACACACACCCCCACGTAGTACCCAATTACAGGGGTTCCCGTGCGCAGGCATTAGGCTGAGAACTAACGGCTGCGAAAGCAAAACAGGTAGGAAGCTTCCCACGACTCTTTCTGTGTTGAGACATAGCAACTCCTCCAGTGGCCTTGAGAGATATGCGTTGCAGCAAAGAGGCAATTAAGCTCAAGGGAAAGAATGCACATGAAAAGGAAACACACACCACACTATTGGCAGCTTAGCTGACAATGACCCAGGCTTGCCCAGTCTCATCAGATCTCGGAAGTTAAGCAGGGTCAGCCTTGGTCAGTATTTGGATGGGAGACCACCAAGGAAGTCCAAGGTTGCTACATCGATCCAGACAATGGCAAACCACCTCTGGTGGCCTCTTGCCCTGCCCTGGATGGCCTACTCTAGCCTGATGTCCTCAGATCATGGAAGCTAAGCCGGGCCAGTCCTGGTCAGTATTTGGATGGGAGACCACCAAGGAAGTCCAGGGTTGCTCTGCAGAGGCAGGCGATATCAAACCACCACTGAACGCCTCTTGCCTTGAGAATCCCACAGGATCACCATACGTCAGCTGTGACTTGATGGCAAATTCCCTACTCCAAACACACAGCTATCTGTGTTGAGGAGAGCTAGTTTGGTGTGGTGGTTAAGAGCGCGGACTCTGATCTGGGAGAACCAGGTTTGGTTCCCCACTCCTCCACATGCAGTTGGTGGTGTGACCTTGGATCAGTCACAAGTCCTCTCAGAGCTGTTCTCTCAAGTGCAGTCCTCAAAGGAGCTCTCTCAGCCCCACCTACCCCGCAGGGTGTCAGTTGTGGGGAGGGGAAAGGAAAGGAGATTGTAAACCACTCTGAGACTCCTTCGGGTAGTGAAGGGCGGGGTATAAATCCAGTCTCTTCTTCTTCTTCTTCCCAGTGAAACCCACAAATTAATTAATTATCATATAGCATTGTATGTGGAATAGCCAGGAGATCCTGAAGGATTATTTGGCTGCCTGAAGCTGTAGCCTTTTTTTGGCACCACTAGGTGGCAAACTATGCTTATTTTTAGGCTGAGAGTGCTGTGACTTGCCCGAGGGCACCCAGCTGGTTTCAAGTGGGGAAGTGAAGAACTGAACCCGGTTCTCCAGATTATAGTCCACCATTCTTAACTCCTACACCTA